TCTTTCAAATATCAAACCTAAGTGAGTCATCGAAATGATCATGATAATAGCTTGTACTACATTGCTTATTACGAAGATTAGCAGAAAATATCTGTGGTATATCAAATATTTTTTTAAAAATCAGATGAAATGTGGTCTGGGTGGGGAACTTGGTGTATACCGAGAGGCTGGATTAAAATTCAAAATAACATTGGAATTTTGGAGAACAAGGCTTCAAAAATAGGATGAGATTTGGTAGGCATGTATAGCAAAATGCTATAAATAAGCAGGAATAACAAGCTGCACTGTAAGAAGACAAAAAATTAATTATTAAGTAGCAGTTCTAAGGAAAAACAAGTCAGTTGTAATCTTAAAATGAGACATCATTTGCAAAAGAGAAAAAAGCATATAGCTTCCCAGATGCATGAAGTAATCCTTCCATCCTACTCAACATCGACAGAGACTCAGCTGAAATACTGCCACAAGTAAAAGCAGCTCCTGCATATCACGAAATAGGAAGATCAGCTGTGAAGAGTTGAGAGGGAAACAATAAGAATAATCAGAGTACTGGAAAATATGACTTGTAAGGGAAAGCTGAAAGAATTGGGATGGCTTACCTGGTGAGGAAAAAGAGATAGGAGAAAGCCAGGGTATGTGCAGATAGTCATCAGCTGTGTGGAAGTCTGTTGTCGGGAAGGTTGTCAGCTACTTCCTGTGTGTAGAAACAGGAGTTCTGAACTGGAATTACAGACAGAAAAATTCAGATAGGGTATTAGGAGAGATTTTCTCATTTTATGGAAGGTAGAGCAGTGGAAACTTTGGAGATACCTGAAAACAGTTTAGGCAGTGGAAGAGAATCCATGTGTCCCCAGACAGTGATGTTAGGAATGTCTTAGGTAACCTCTTGATGTTTCTTCCAGTCCTGTGTTTTTCCTCTGTAGTGGGTCATGTTTTGTTCTAAGTTAATGCAACTTTTCATGTCTTAAGGTGGAATAAGAGAACGAGGCTGGTTCCCTAGGAAATGTGTGGAAAAATGCCAATATGACTCTGAAACGGATCAACCAGTGGATGGAGAGAAGAAAAACAGATAGCCTTCTCATTTTTTTTAAATAAGAAATGGAATTTTTACTTCAGACCACAATCCTTTACTTGAAATTTTCTGTGTATTACTTTAGTCTTATGCAATGAATATGTTAGGGCAAGGTTTTCTTTTCCTCGCAGCTGAAAGGGTTGGATATGCCTGTGCCATGGTTTGCGTACTTTTTTTTTAACAATAAATAATTGAAGAAGCCATTCAGTGGATTGCCTTCAAAATGCATTTTTTTATCCCAAGTCAGGTTTTTTTCTGTTTAAATTGCATTCTGAGGTTTTTCCTCAACGGCATCCGATTGGGATGCATGCTGCCTATCTTTTGTATTTTACTTTCTCTGAAGCTGCCCCCCTGAAAACTATAAAATAAACCTCTGATTCAAATTCAAGATAAAATTTGTTACCTGTGACTTTTAATGATGTGAATTGCTCACCTCAAATAAATGATACATTCATATTCAGTTGTGGATTTACTTGTTCTTAGACCAACAAGAACTTGTTTATAGGCATGGGAATGTGAACTGACTGGGAAGTAAAGATTTCGCCGTTTTAAGTTGTTTTTCAAGGTTAGAAAGACTTCAGCTCTTGCTATAAGAATATTTTCTGCTTTTAGTGGCAAAAAAAATATAGCTAGCTGTATCTGCTCTCTGAAATGTGAGCATGTACCCAAGAGGCTGGAGTTCTTGATCCATCTTGGAGTGAAAGGAAGCAGTAGTACCAAGACTGAACATTTCTGTGAGCCTAGTTGCTACTAATTGATTAACACCTTTCCTAAAGCTTTTTTATTTAGCATCTGGTATGATTAGAAGGAAAACCTTAAAATGGAGTAACCTGTACCAGGTGCAGGCTTCCTAAATGTATCTTAAATGCAGCAAGTGGTTTTGTTCCCTCAGTCTAGTTGCATTTCACATGTTGAGAGTTTTTGCAAATTACTGTTTTAAGCTAACACGTGGTTTGCCTCCACCTGCATGAGTTGTCTCAGGTAGATGAGCATTTCTTAAACAGTATTAAGTGTATATAGAAATAACTACATACAAACAAGCCAGCATTACTCCTGTATGCTGCTACTCAGACCCTACCTCCGGTACAAAGCCAGGTTTCTGCTACCTCCAGCCTGCTGTGCCTTAGTACTGATGGTGGGCCAGAATCCCAGGCAGTTTGTGAGCTGGGGCAAGGAGGAGTTAGTGTTCAGTTTCAGTAGTTTGCAAGCAGGTGCTTTGCCCCTGTTGAAATCATACCACCTACTTTTAAGCAATGGGCTTCTGGAGGTATGGGAGTGTGTCTTACTCCTAGTTTCCCAGCTAGCAAGAGCTGAAAGGTCATAACTCAGCAGGATGCAGCTATTTTGGAATATGAGCAGAAATTACTATGAAAGCCTCCAGACTTCACAAAATACTCTTGGTCTCAATTGTAGTACTTTCTGTTCAGTGCCTGGAGTCTAGAACCAATCAAAGATTTCAAAACTAAGCTTGTCTTCCAGCTGAGGAAGCTGGCAGCTAAGGACCTCTTGATCTTGACTTTAAAATTATTAAATAGCTGCTATCTATAGTGGCAGGCAGCAAACAGGAGTGTAATAGGAACAGAGTAACAGTGCTAATGGCCACAGTTGATTGTTAGCTATTAGAGGGAGAATTTATGTAAGCTGTGGCCTGTTCATGGGGGACTGGATATCTTTCAGTAGTTGAAGAGCATCTTCAACTCTTACTTCATCTTTGATTTGAGCAGAGTTTTGCACACCAGGCTCACCCTATGCTGAACTACAGCATGACCAGGAGCTCTGCTTCAGAAGTGCACTTATAATCTGAAATGGACTCTATATGTTTTTGGGTTGTTTTTTTTTTTTTTTTAGATACTTTCATCTTGTTTCCTTGTAGCTGTAACTTCAGTCCCACCTGTTCCCTTTTTTTAGCACAGGTAACTGGTATTTCTGTTTACCATTACAACACCTTCACTCAACAGTGAAGTTGCCTACAACCAACCAGCCAAAACAAAATGCATACCTCTTAAAGGCGTTCAGAGATTCTGCAGCCAAGAAAATACAAGCTGTCTTTCCATTGCTGAAAACAACTGCGTCAGAGTGTGAAGTTGAAAGACAAAGCACCTCTGAGGAACTGTTGATTCTTAATACTAGTAGATTTTCTTTTCCTTCCTTTCTACCATCCCAGTCTGTCTTTATTTTTAACTTCTTCATCCCCCACTCCCTGCTTTTTGCTGGAAGAAGGCCTTTGTTTATTAAGGAAAGGAGCAGGTATAGATTTGACATAGCTGTGCTGTGTTCTGCAGTGATTCATCAGGGAATTCAGTTGATTTTCTTTCAGGTTCAAATCCCTAGAGAAGCCAGCTCTGGCAGAAGCAAAAAGCAAGTGTCTTTTTCACACAGCAGTTAGCTTTATTGAACTCTTCTTGCTTTTCCCTGAGGGAAGAATTACTCCTTTTATTTAAAATTTTGAGTTTTGCATCCTTTCCATTGTCTAACAGCAAGTCTAGACTTGCAATGCCATGCTAGCCTAACTCAGGCTCTAGTATGATGGAAAGTAAGGGTAACTGCATACTAAAGTGGAACCTTCCCCTCCTATTTAAAGGAAAACAATGATAAAGGCTAGTAAGAAATAGCAACCTACTTTGGGCCGTTTTTGCACCAACGCAGAAGCAGGATCTGTCATAAAAGCAAGCAATACTGGCCGTGTTAAATTACCATCTCAGGCAGCCTGTTCAACCACGAAATCAGTGACAATTTTGTTTTCTGCTCATCTGCCCTTGCTTTGGCCTCCAGTCCAAAGAGACTCACCTTTACAGAGAGAAGCCACTGACTGTGCTGAGTGTCTCAGTTGATAACAAGGAAGGGGCTAGATTACCATATACAGTAGGCTGCGCAGAAGACTAGCCTAGGCATTTTCATGCCTGGTATCTGAGATGATTACCAATAGTAAAAGAAATCAATGATGGAAGAGTTCTCTCCTCCTCAGTAGTACTAACCAAGAGGCTTCTGATTTTAATCCAGATCTCTTAAGAGTTGAGCAAATACAAACTCATGCTAGAGTTTAACCATCTTCCATACAGTTAGTTTTACAAATGCAAGGTAGTGACCAGGGAGAGAAAAGAGAACTTCCCATTCTAGGAAGCCAGGTTTTTCCGTGCTAGGATTTGCAGGTTATTTAGTTTTTACAATTGAGTTGCCTAGCTATGGCATTAGAGAATGATTCTAGAGCTATCTTGTTGATTGAAATAAGAACCTCATTAAAGCAAAATTATGAATTAAGAGTCAGTATTTCCCTCTGAGCACTTATTCTCTGGATCAGGAACAGAAGAGACCAACCAGTAATTAGTAAATTCCAGGCAGAGGGATTATTTCACAGAGATAGAAAGACACTTAAATTGTATTTTGGTACACAATTCTTACATGATTTGGAGAGCTGAAATCAGCAGTCTAATTCCTGATGCAGTACATATGAGGTGTTTCCAATTTGTTAAGTATAAGAAAGATATATTATCACCATTCATATTAAATAGCTGCCTTATGTGAATCGTATTTTTATTAGTCATGGTATCTCATCGTTCAGCATGTATACATCTCTATACTGCAGACCAAATGGATCAATTCATCATGGACAGCTACTACTTAAGAGCTTTTTAAAGCAAGTAGAGAAATCTGCATGTTACTTTAGTGCCAATCTGTATCATGGGAAAAATGTTGCAGAGAATTGAACTTCATTGTACCTATAGCCATCCTTACATCAAATCTTTGTCACTGAGTATAACGGTGCTTCAATCCTGCTGTAGCTTTCTTTAGTGCTCAAACTATAGCCTGAAATAATTTTTGCACCATTTCAATGCAAGCATACCTAAAGTACTCCTGTTTTCACTTCAGATCTATATTGTGTAAGCAGCTCATATTGGCAGAAGTGGCACTCAAGAGACCAGTTTCAGACCAATTTACACTTGGAATTGCTAGGTGTAGTTTATTGTTCAGACAGTGCCATTACCCATTCAATTCCATCTTTATAATAGCTACTAGCAGTTGCTACAGACATGAAAAATCTAAAGCGTTGTAGTTTGCCACTATGAGAAGAAGCCTAATTGCCATTAAGAGCAAACCAAATTCAGAGATTGAGATGTTTCCTCTTCTGAAAGAGAAAGCATCTCTGCTCTATTAGAAAGCAACCTGTACAAAGTCACTACTTTCTGAGATGTTCCATGGAAAAGTGGGCATTCTTTACTCAGTTCACAAATAAGAGATCTCTTTATGCTGAATGAAGCACCATGGTTCATATCTGGACACTGCAAGCTGAAGGGCCCACCACAGCTGGTGCTGCGCTTCCACATCCAAGCAGATCTCTGGAGAGAGGTTTCACTTGTTGATACAATAAACAAAGTACTTTCCAGGCACTACAGCAGGTAGCATCACAGGATTCAACCTCAAGTTTATGCGGATCTCAGTTTCACTGGATTCACTGTCCCCAGCTGAATTGCTCATCTGAACCCACAACCAGTTTCAGTATACATTTCTTCTTCCCTCTGGTTCCTTTTTTTTTTTTTTTTTTTTTCTTCCCCTGAGTAAGACTGGGGAGAAGATTAAGCCATCAGTAACTTTTAAGTCACATTGCTTTAAGGAAGCATGGGAAAGATGAGCAGGATAGTTACATGTACTTTCAGAATCTTAGAAGCCTTTATAGCCTCAGGTTAGGATAAGCACAATAAGTGACACAACAGGTACCTGAAAATGTCAAGGTCTTTGGGCCTGGACTAGAAACAGAATTGGGTCAGTTGCTTTTACTAGTCAAAGCTAGAGATCCCTCCCAGCAAGGGTGGGTCTTTCCTGACCAACAAATCTACTGGTTGCTTTCATTTTGGGATATCTGACCAAGAACATTAAATAGAGAACAGCTACTAGCTGTAAGTATCTGGCACAGACAAGGAGAATGGGCACACGAAAGCTACATGTGCTCTTCCCCCACGTTACATCCTTGTTAGCACTGTCTCACCCTTTGATAGAGCAGACTACTACAGGGACAGTGAGGAACTGACCAGAGACAGCATACTCTTATGGAAAACATGATTCTAAAGATACGGTACTCATGTTGCCTAGATAGTTTTCTACAGAAGCAGCTTTAGTCCTAGAAAATGCCTCATTTCATGGAAGAATGAATTTATGCACATGATACCCTACTACAAGAGTAGAAGATCAACATCTAGACTGACATTATCTTACTGCCTCATGGCTTGAGCTGTGGCTGAGCAATGGCAGAGTAGGAAAGTTAACATTCTGCAGCAGTTGTGTTCTGGCTGCAGCTATATGTAACCAGCCAGCAGTAAACCTTGCAGCTGACAGGCTGGGTGCAGCAGACATGTCACTCACACAGTCTTTGGTTTGATTATGCAGTTACAATTTATTGCATTCTCTATCCTTAGGAATGACAGCTAGTTTTCCCCTTATTAGGCTCAAATTAGTAAGTGTAGAGGCTTTATGACTGCCATTGCATTTGAGAACACATGCAAAAACTGATCCAGTGTGACCCCTACTAAACTATGTTTGCTTTTGACACATATACTTTGTAAACCAGCTGATGCCAGACTATTCATTTCATTATAAACAACCTCTACAGTGTGGTCCAGGGCTAGGAACAAGAAATTCACTTCTGTAATTGCTGAAGAGATGTTAAGCACCAATTCATATTGTGACAGCTTGAGTTGAGATAGGTTATAACATCTTGAGTGGAAAGTGAAGTGGTGTTTTCCTGCGCTTGGTTTTTCAGCTACCTCCCCCAGTTCCCCCCAAACCACGTAACTGCAGAAAAGAGTTTAGGTCTGATTGCAGATCAGTCCGCAAAAGGTCACAATGTAGTTCATACTTGGAGCAGGAAAACAAGATCTGCTTTCAACAGTGAGAAGTGCATACAACTGCCTTTTAAAGGCTGAGGCTCTTGAGTGTTTTTGCTCTTCAGTCACAGTCCAAGGAAGATGAATGTTCTGGCTTTGCCCAGGCAGCTGATGCTTAGTCCTGCAAGATGTGAATGCTGCTCGTTGTCAGTTATACGATAGCCATCTTCATCTGAAAGGAATTTTTCCCAGGATAACAAAAACAATATGTTTAAGTTCTCCTTGCTCCCCTCCACTCATGCCTGTATTCTCCATAGGTCATGTAGTGTCACAGATTTATATACTCCATGCGGTTTAAATTAAACTGGCCACTTATTCCTGCATACTTGAATAGAGGGCCTCAATCTGCTTCTGGAAGAGTTTAACAAGCTCTGCTCTCTTTGCCTTCAGTGTTGGTGTCAAGAGTCCATTTTCTACAGAGAACATCTCAGTGTGGATGTACAGGTCTTTAACCTATTAAGAGAAAATGATTTAGCACTTGTCCTCTAAGTATTTATGTAAGTGTCAACAGTTCTTCCCAGCTTCCCTGAGCTCAGTGCACAAACTCAGTCTCAGGAGCTCCAGTAACTAAACTGGTTTTTGGTGGAAGGCAAATTCCTTTTGGCTGACACATCAAGAAGATAGGCTGGGTAGCTCCTGTAGCCTATGGTGAACCCCCACTCCATCTCATGGCACCTGCTACTGTTGGCCTGTACAGGCACCTGTCTCTTGGTCAAGAGACAGGCAGCCAGTCAATGTTTCACTGCCTACTTCAATCAGTCATCTAAGGTCCCATCCTGGCACAGCAAAAAACAGGAATGAAGACTTCCTGGCCATTGCATTAGCAACACAGTTGTTTGTGACAAGCAGGATTTGAAAATACTCACTTGTTCAAAGGATTTAAGGCCAGCCTCTTTCCCCAGTCTGATCATATCTTCTAAAATAGCTTTCTTCACTGACTGGAAGAAACAGAGTGGGTAAAGCTGACATTTTGTAATTGCAACTCAAGACCATACCCGTTGCCGAGTCAGTGAAAACCAAGGTTGCACGAATACAAGTACATATCTCAACATTCAAGATTCCTCATATTAAGGCCACTACAAGATCATACCTATCATTCAGAAAGAAGCAGTGATAGTCCTTGAAACATCAAGACACCTATAATTAGTTCCCGTTTTTACTGTAAGGCTTTCTACATGACCCACTCAGCAGTAAGCCAGTTTAATTTACAAAAAGCCGAGTAGAATGAAGTCAAAGCAATGCAAGACTACTTCAGAATTAATTTCTATCTGTAACCCACTAAAAACAAAGCTACTCACTGGATTTTTGCAGACATCTTCATAGGAACCTTTTACACCCAATTTTGCTGCAAATTCTGGAAGCGTCTCTGGATCAGGAACCACTATACCTATTAGAAAAGACTGAAAACAAGTGGAAGTAGTTATGTTGAGACCAATATAAGGCATCTGAAATTACTCTGTATGTGAACTTCGTTGTGGACAGTGTCTCTACAACAAGCCACATCTACATCACCATCCATTTCCAGTTTGGAAGGTAGTTACAAGGACTTTGAAGTCACTTGTCTGAATTCTGACAGCAGTAATTTTACTAATGCAGTTTGTTACAAGTGCTGAATGCTCCAGCAATTACTTTCGGCTGATTTACAGCTTGAAGACTGGCCTCTGCTAGTAAAGGTGACATCTCTGTGGCAAAGGAGTGGAGAACCACCCCTGCAGAGAAGGCTCCAGTGAGACCTTATTGCAGCTTTTCAATACTTAAAGGGGGCTTATAACAAAGATCAGGACAAACTTTTTAGTGGGGCCTGCTGCAATAGGACGAGGAGTAACGGTTTTAAACTGAAAGGGTAGATTTAGACTACCTATAAGGAAGAAGTTTTTTTACAATGAAGGTGGTGTAACACCAGAACAGGTTGCCCAGAGACGTGGTGGATGCCTCATCCCTGGAAATATTCAGGGTCAGGCTGGACGGGGCTCTGAGCAACCTGATCTAGTTGAAGATGTCCCTGGTCATTGCAGGGTGGGTTGGACCATTAAAGATCCCTTCCAGTTCAAAGTATTCTGTGATTCTGAACTGTACGGAGCTGACCTGACATATTAATGCCATACAAGTATTTAAATAGCCTTTACCCAGCTTGCAACTTGATGCCAAGTTCTCCTCTTTGGTGTCAATTGAGAAGGCTATAGGTCTGAAAGGATATTCCTATAAACATGGCACTCTCAGGAACATATCTTGTTCAAGGGCTCTTGTACATGGCTACATTTTTGTGCCCCAGTCTTCCAGAACTCATCAGGGGAGGAATCTTGCAGAATGCTTGGTCCTAACATCACTTACCCTGAGGCTTTCCCCATGTACAAAGACCTGGGCTACAGGAGCACTTCTGATATAGACATTTTCTATCTTCTCTGGAGCAATGTATTCCCCTTGTGCAAGTTTAAATATATTCTTCTTCCTATCAATGATCTTCAGCGTTCCATTCTAGATGTTAAAGGTGGAGGACATTAGTTTCAAGTCTCTGTCTTGCTTCTATAAGAAGTAGAATATAGTAGGTTTGGTTTTACTGTATGAAAGGCACATGCTAGTCTGGAACTGGTCTTTGCTTTCTACAGAGAAGGGGCATTTTGTCTAATTTCTCCAGTTAGCTCAGGACATTAGACAGGTCCTTTATTCTCCTCTGACAGAAACCAAGACACCTCGTTTTTTTTTCACTGTGGAAGTGACATAGTCTTAACTACTGGCCCAGCAGGTGTTACTTGAGATCTTGTAACCTAGTTGGTCTTTGGAGCTTTGCCTGGAGTTACTTAGTGAGTAATAACAAAATACCGTGTAAGGCTTTTATCTTAGAATTCATTTCTCCAGCCTTTCAGATTACTATAAACTAGCCAGGAATTCACATCCAAGGGATGGTTTATATTAAGCAATTACTCACTGGCAACCATTTCCCTATGTCTCCAGTATGGAGCCAGCCATCTTTATCAATTGCTTCTGCTGTCTTCTCAGGGTCTTTCAGATAGCCCTTGAACACATTTGGTCCTTTAATGCAGACCTATAGCAAGCACAGAACATTGTTAGTCACCAAGTCTTATGTTTCAGTATTTCCTGACACACACAGGAGATGACACCTACCTCGCCTTCATTATTAGAAGAGAAGTAGTTCATTTCTTCCACATCATCTAGTTTAATGATATTACAAGCCAGAGGGGCTCCAACATGGCCTAGGAGAAAAAAAACAAAAAAACAAAAAAACAAAAAAAAAAAAACAAAAAAAAAAAAAAAAAAAAAAACAAAAACCAAAACCACACACACACCAACAAGGACAATTATGTTTTGGGGATTCTGCTAGCAGTTGGCCCTATTTGATCTAAATCTAGAAAGACTAGGTCTTGAAGGGAAAACTTGGGTGCCTCCTACATATGAAAGGCTCCAGTGATAGCAGATACTTAATGGCTTTTTGATCTCTGCTTTAACAAGAACCAATATTTTTTAAAGGAATCTGACACCAGATGTTCAATAAAGTTATCGTAATGCCATTTTCAGACAGTTAATTAATGCAGGATAAGTAGCAGCTAAGTCTCAATGCTTAGAAACATTTATTGATGTAATCATCCACACCAACCATGTACTGCACATGCCTCCACAGAATTCCCTCATAGGCCCTTGTATTCATCCTCGTGCTCTGCAGTTATTGTGTTCTCAAAGATGGTGACTTGAGCTTGAATTTAGAATACCCAGTACTTAAAACATCTTTGCTAAGATGAAAGCTAAATCTTCAAGATCAGGTAGTCCTTCAGGGAAGTGGTTAAGTATCATGTGTGATATTTGAGTCATAATTATGTAAGTAAAACAAGTTACCTGGGAGCTAAAGCTAGCTTCTTGAAGCCATTTGGGAAGTCCTTGTCCAGTTTGCTTAAATCTGCACAGACACTCCTTTCCTGTACACTAGAACAGGGTCTAAGCTGACCTACGTCACTTTACACAAGAGATCCTCACCTACTTGAGTCAAGAATTTTGGTACCTATTAAGCATACAGATGACTGTTGCTACCATGAATCACTTTGATGTTAAATACCCAGGATTTAACTTTCATTGAACTGAAAGCAGTGAAGCACCTAAGCTCGAGTGCCACTTTCTGTTGACAGCTGTGGGAGAGTTTCAAGTCTCAGCCAGCATACCTGTTGTCCAGTCTCCAGGCATTGAGAAAGTACACCCTGCTGAGCATTCAGTCTGGCCATAAGCTTCAAAAATCTGCGTGAGAAAGGATGAATACTCTTTGAAGCCTAAGTCCTTAGTGTGAAAAAGCTCACTTTCAATTATGCCTGTGCTCAAGTCATCTTCTCAGGAAGGAAGCAAAGATAATCAGCCTTTAAGACTTCTTGGTCTTATTGGTGCAGTGCGATGTTCTTCAAATTCACCTATCCAAACTTTGCTTTGGTCACCTCATTCTCTGAACTCTGCTTTCAAGTGTACTACATTGGGATCTCATTGACTGTCAGGATAAGCCACAAAGCTTAGGGGCAGCTGCCTGACTGAGTGCTGCATGTTCCTGTTTCTAATGCTCTATTCCTCTTCCCAGAGCCTACAGGATAGTTTTTTGGTAGTGTAGTTTGAAGCCTTCCCTGAAGAATTTTATTCCTCTTACAGTTAACTCAAATCAAGCAGCCTGTAAATATTGAAGACTGACAGCAATCTCCCCAGGAACAACCCAGGATGAACCACAGCTGTATCATTGATCACTTATTTAGGCATAATCAAATAGGTCTTACTTTAAGAAAAAAAAAAAATCAGCTTACCTGACAGCCTAATGCTGCTCTAAGAAATGTCAGGACAGAGGGAGATATAGGGGCTGCGCCTGTTACCATTATACGCACTCTTCCACCCATGGTTTCCTACAATGAAATAGAAACCATCAGATCCTCCAATACTATATTGCTCATGTTACTTACACTTGGATTAACTTACCTGAACTTTTTTGAAGATTAGCTGATCCCAAATGCTGTCATTTCGAATTATGCCCTGTTTTATTTCAGCCATCTTCATAATCACAGCAAAGTTTAACAGGCACCGTTTCACTGGGCTCTTTGCACCACTTTGTATCTGCAAGGAAACGTACCAGTGGCTATTGGCTTTAATTCACATCTGTACCTCCAGTTCTTGCTTTGTTAGGAGGCAACATATCTTACTCCAATGTTCTAGGGTCTGTCATCACTACTGCCATAGTTTAGATGAACCAAGAGGCAACACTAATTTTTGCTGGTACCGACATACTTCAGCCATAGCTTTGACAGATAGGGATCCTTCTAGCTTTTCAGTATTAATTTAAATTTGTATGCTTGCTTAGATATATGATCACAAAAATAATTTAGCTAAAATTGCTCACATACCTTGTCATATATTCTATTGAGTAGTCTTGGTACAACTGGAAATAGTGTTGGTTTCAAGGTTTTCATGTCATCTGTTAGCAACTTGATATCTCCTTGGAAGAAGCCTACTTTTGCTCCACAGCTGTAGACCACAGTCTGAAAATTGAGCAGACTAAGATTAGTCAAGAATAATTCCTAGCTTCATTAGCCAAAATTATTTGTCTATGGAAAGCAGCATGATTTCCAGTGCCCAATGCTAGGAAAGTTCCTGTGTGAATAGGTTTTGAGGAAATACAGATGGCTATCATACCTTTTACTGTAATTTGATTTATAGAAGCTCACATGCATACATCTGTACATACCTGTACAACTCTCTCAAACATGTGAGCCAAGGGAAGATAGGACATGGTGATATCTGAACTTGTACATTCAACTGTGTTCTAGAGGGGAAAGAAATAGAAATAGGTTACCACTCCATATGCCTGCCTGAGTTTCTCTTAAGTAGAAAGTGAATAAAGTTTGGATCAATTCGGATACTTTGAAATAGACACTTCAAATGACTGAAACAACTCAGGCTCATCCATCGCCTCTTCAAAATTTGCAGCTGTAACTCATCCATACTATGTCAAGGTTAGTTTAATGTTTTGGCAAGACTTGAAATAAGGTAGTTTAGTCCTCTTGGCATTTAGGACTGACTCATTCTAGAATAACTGTGCAGAAGTTCTTGCTCAAGGTTAAACCAAGTTTCTTAGATTACTTTGTCCCATTAAAATATGGGCACTTAGGAAAGCATGAGTTTGCTGTGAGTGAATGGTTTCTAGAAAATGCCCACATTAAAGCTAGTTTCATGACTGAGTGACATAGCCTAGAGATCACCAGTAGCAGCAGCTTACCTCTGTGCTTCTAAGGAAGGCAGCAGCATTTGCAACAACATTTTGATGTGTCAGCATGGCTCCTTTAGGGTTACCTTTGGAGAGATCAAGCAAAGTCAGTGGTATCTATGACTGCTGCTGCTGTCGGTTTCCCATGTCTTGTTTGGCTCAGTTTGAACTGTCTTGGCATTAGGCTCAGTCATGGCATGCCTTGTCTTAGGAGATCACAAATATGCCTCATCTTGAGTGCTTTCAGCTATGGATATTATATAAAGGAAAGGTCTACTGAAACAGCAGAGTAATTAGGAGTAGCATAGAGAAAGCTGAAACCTGAAACAAGATGTTTCTCTAGCCCCTGTGAATCAGAATACAGACACAGTTAAACAATCTCTTTCACATTAAGACTGTATTTTTCATAGGGTACGACAATAAGAATTTGGCTATTCTTCATACCAGCTCTAAGCAGCTTTATCTTAGTGTACTTGACTGGTAGTGATAACGTCTCAAGTAAAACTGCAGTAGTGGCTTGACACTGCTAATTTACTGATTTACTTCTATATTGTTAGAATTACCTTTTTTGTCTGTGTGTGTGCGCTGGAAAGCTATTTCTTTCAGCACAGTGAGATTGCTTTAGTGGAGAAACATCACTATATATTCTCTTACCTGTGGTTCCACTAGTAAAACACACGATGCAAAGATCTTCAGGCTTAGGAGGCTAGAAGGAAAAAGCCACATAAGGTCAACAGAGTAAGGATTATGTTGCTTATCAGTGTTTACATACACTTCCTAAAGTGGAATGAACCAGGAATTCTGTCTGGAAACAGCAAGACAAGATACAAAAAAACCCTGCCAGCATCCTCCACTAGCAGCATGGCAAAAGGTGTTTTCAGAGACTAGTTTTAGAAGTTTTAAACTGTTCCACAGAGATACTTACAACTGGTTCTCTGATGTTGTTTCTTCCCAGCTCCTGTGTTAGAGAAAAAACACAGCTTAGCAATTGCAGCAGAAAGACATGCAACAACAACACATGGATAGGTAATTGCAATTGAATTGCAACACTTGTTTTTACTTTGTCTCTTGATACTCTCAGAGGGATGTTGGTCTTCCTGAATTTAATACATGCAACTTGGAAAAGCTGACTCCTGGGGTTGTGAAAAGCATGAATTTGAATGTGTAGAAAGTGATCAGAACTGCTTGAGGAATTTGGAAGTCCTGAGTGGGGATATTTTATTTTATTTGATGTAGGCCACATCTCATACTTTATATGTATTCATAGTAACTGGAAGATTAAGCCTAGTATTGGGATGTCAAAGCAGCCAGTAATTTGCACTTACAGTTTCACTTAGACTCAACTGCCAGCTTAGAAGTCTGACAAATCCTGTTACAACTGCACCATGAATTAAGCTAAGGAAGTCTTCAGTTTAATGCATACTGACTGCCCACAACACAGACACAACTTTAGTTAATGGTTTGAAGTCTGCAAGTCCATTTGGCTAAATATATTGTTTCAAAATGGCTCCTCATCAAGATCTCAGGTACAGGTGTGACAACTGGATAATGCTTACATTAAAGTGTTATTGTTGCCAGAGGAGGTCCAGATGTCTAGCTGGCAAGGTATTCCTCTGCAAGATCAAGCAGAAGCCTTTAGTCACCTACCTCAACCTCCTGCAGTGCTAGAATTTCAACTCCCACTTTAGTTCCTCTGTTCTTGAGCTCTTTATCAAAGAGATCCATGAGAATTATAGTCTTCAGACATGGAGTCTTCTCTTGCTCACAGTTCTCAAGCAAGGTCTGTGCCTTCTCAGGCTTGTCACAGATCACTATGCTTATGTCAGCTACAGAAAATAAATTACATTTTAGAAGTATGTTTAGAAGACATGAGGCTAGTGAGTGACAGCTCAGTAGCACATACATTTAGAACATAGCATTGATTTGTTCTAAAGCCATTTGCATTTGCTCATATGGATTCAGTCGTTGGCTTACAGTGCTAAGAAGGTTCCTCCTGTCATGGTCAACTGACTGGGCAAACTTGAGATTCTAGCTATACAAAGTGAGAGCAAATACTGAGGAACTGAAGACATATATCTTCAGTCACAGTCCAAATAGGCATTTAAACTTCTCATATTGTCATAAAAGCTCATAACTGTCCTCACTGATTGTTTAGGTTTAGCAATCTTTGTTAAATCTAAAGAAATTTAGACCTGTTTGAAAGAGGTAGCTAAAATACTTGAGTTAATGCCTCAGCTTCCCTGCATATGCAAGAGTTTTATGCAATTACAGAAGCATTTCCCATTAAGTTGTCAGAGGAATTGGATTTGCCTGAACATGCCCATTCCCCGTTAGCCTAGTGAGTCACAGCTGTGTAGTCCCAAGCAAGACCTGTTTGCAAGGTTCACCAGCATAACTGTTGAAGTTATTTTACTTGGGAAATCCTGTTTATGGGTTGGATCCTAGATTGTTGTGACAGTAGTGGATATTTTTTTCCCCCCATAACTCCTCTAAGACTGGGGGGATAAAGTCTGAAGATTATTGAAGTTTCCTCATCAGTTTCTTCCATGATGGCATGCTAGTTGTTGCTTCTGTAGAACAGGCCCTCACCAGATTAAATAGATTTAGGCATGTCTTTAGGACTCCTTCCTCCACTCTTCCTACAACTTTAAATCAGACACACACATCTAGTCTTAATTTGCATGCAAGCCTGTCTGCATTGTCTGATTGTTTGGCAGTGTGGGAGTTCAAGATTGCTAAACTTCAAATAGCAAATAGTTGAGCACTCTGACTGCAGGATGGTCCACAGGATCTATCAGGTCTTCAGTGGACTTGCACTCAAGATACTGGGAGGCATGGGAATCCCACTGTCTTCTTCTAAACATTGAACCATGTCCCCTGCAAAGCAGCTTCATTTACAGAAATTAAGTGTCTATAGAAGTATAAGAGCAGTAAGGTTAAAGCTACTCTGTTTTTTGCTTCAAATGCCCTTGAACTTCAGTCTTCTCAAAACAAAGCTTCTTAGAGAAATCATTATGAATGTCATAATGTCAATATTTACCTTTGTTAACAATATATACAATGGCCTCTGGCCCCAGAGTGTCATAGAGTGGAACAGCAACCATTGAGTAAGTGTAGCAGGCATACTCTGAAATGATCCACTAAAGAGAGAAAACAGTACAGCTAAGGAAATCTAGCAGCTCACAAGAAAGGATTACGAACAAATTTCATACAGCTTGACTAGCCCATGCACACATAGTAGTGGGGGCTGTGTAAGGAGCATGTCCATGAGACTGTTAGCATAGTGAGGGTTCAATATCATTGTATTGCATGCCTGGCATGGTATGTGCTCAGTCAGTAATAAGGGAACTGGGAATGGAAAATCCAGTTGTGATTGTTCTTCATGTGGCCTCAAGCTATTTAAATACAGACCCTCCTCTCTCCCCAAGGTATCAGAATATTCTGGAAAATAATATTCATTTTGTTGCTTACCTCTGGCCTGTTCTGAGCAAAAATGCCAATAAACTGGTTTGATGATGGTTTGCATCCTTTTTGCAGAAGCCCTGATCCCAGGTATTGAGCTCTGTCCAAAACCTGTAAAATAATTTTGCTCCACTTTAGTGTTACAGGACAGTATCTCAAATTAAATTATCTTCATGTACAATACTCACCTGTTTATATGTCAGCCACTGGTAAGGTTGGTTGGGTTTTCTATAGCCTAAACAGTTGCCATTTCCTAATGGAAGAGTTCAGAAAAGCGAGTGTAAAGCTCTGTACTGAAGTTGAATAGAACTTCAATGCAACGCTTTAAGTGGGAAATATTTTCAGTCAGACATCCAGCTAACTGCATGGAGCATAGAAGTGCACTGTCCATAATTAAGTACTACCCAAACCAAAGATTGTAAGGCTGTTGGCTTTATCCTTACAATCAATACTTCCAATATCTAGTGATATTTTCCCATTTCACAACCTACATGAGATTAAAATCGCTTGCAAACTATCACATATTTCTATGCATGGAACCCCTGAAGGCACATGTGCGCGAATTCATACCCATTGTAAGCAGGCAGTAATTTTACACCTAAACCCACATCACAAGACAAAGCAAATGTGTTTCCCCATCAACTCCTTCTGATGCTTAGTATCTGCTGACTCCACTGAACTCTATCATCTTAAGCTTCTGATGTTTGTTGCCACCCAGTCTGCCAGTTAAGACTGCATCTAAATCAATGGGGGGAAGGGAAAAATATGGTCACTTGTCACTCTACCCCACAGAAGTCTAGGAAAGCTTTTGTTAGCCTGAATTATTACTACAGACAAGAGGCAAGTCAAAAGAGCTTGGAATAATTTTATGTACTTGTGATAGGCAAGTACTAACTAGCAGATGCAAAGCTTACCAGAAGCATGCAGTCCTCTCTGGAAAACTTCATACAAGGTTTTACCATCTTCAAAGTAGTAAGAAAGAAGGTTATTATCTGTCAAGAGTGCACCTCTTCTGGCTCCTCCCTAGAAAAAGAACATAGTTATGGAACAGTACAGAACAGATGCAGTCATTTGTTCCTCAGCCATTCTCTCAGCAATCCCCTTTAAAGCATTTCACTAGCACTGCATTGTTAGGGAAGTCTCATTTTCCTTCCTGATTTTGATCTACTCAGTCATATGCAGAGGAATTTTCTAGATGGCCTAGATTAATATTCAATTACAGGTTATTAGAGAGACCTTGACTAAGATTAAGTGCTACCACTTGCCTAGTTACATGAAGTCTAGCACCAGCCTAAAAGCTGATGCAAAGCATTTACAATACAGAGAAAAAAAAAAAAAAAGTCAGTGACAGCCAAGGCCATCTGATAAAAATCCCACCTAACTCTGATGGCAGGAGCTTCTATTTCTTACTCTTAGTATCTTGAGACTTTCCTTCTTCCCACCATACTATTTAGCTCTACACCTGGGAGAGAAGACTCTGTATATTAGGCGGGAGAGTTTCCACTGATACTCAGAGTCAGAATGCATCAGTATTCAGATTATGCTCAAAAACAGTCCATACTTACAAGCAGAGTAAGTATTACCTCAATTCCTACTGACTGCTTGTTCAAGTCAACAGGAGGCAAAACAGGTTTTGGCCTGCTTATCACCCACAGAAAGATGCCAGCTCCACATACAATAAGACTAATCAATGCTGGTGTTGGAAGCGGTGAGAACAAGACTTGAAGTATCCAGATCATTGTGCTGGATCAATGGAGCCAGAGCTGAACCTGAAACAAACAGGAGATTTAGTAGACATGAGTTAGAAGCACTCACTGCCTATGAGCTATGGTTACTTAAGTAGTTAAGCAATACTACAAATCATTTCAGCATTTTGCCCCTAACGAGTCCTGGTACAATAATGAAGCATGCTTATGCAATGGTTTAAGCCTCTTAAGAGATCTCAAGACACCTGTCCCCATAAATCTTAATCCATGCTGCATCCACCTTCACAAAAAGCTGAAGCCTGATGAAGTCAGACAAGGAACGGATGTCAATTCTTTCTATTCAAGAATAAAAATCTGCCTGGGGAAAACCAGTATATAATTTCCCAAATTAAGTATAAACAAAAAATGCCTACAGTTCAGTGATGTGAGTAGTGGAAGTAAGAAAACATCTCAATATTATAGCTGTCCAATAGGAGGGGGTATTGCTAAATTATATGTTTGTTACTCCTACATATACGAGTCTTCAGGACAAGCAGTATCTTCATGATCAGCTGCTCTTACTGGAAAGCAGGGTTTATGCTGGACAATTATTTCAAACAGTGAAGGTGTGTTCAGCATGAGATATGGCACAAGTCAAAACTGTGAAATTACTTTCTGCTAGGAAGTGGTGACCTGAAAGTCAGTGTGTGCAGTGGAAGTCTAGCTGGGAAATAAAAAGGCAGTTCTGCTGCTTGCATCCTCCAGTCTCTTCCTTCAAGTGCAAGGAAGCAAAAACTGAGAATGCAGGATTTCTTAGAAGAGACAAAAAGATATCGACCTCAGCCTCCTCCCTTAGAAGCAAGTGCTTTAATCTCTAAAATGTTCTGGTATGTTTAAGATTGAATGGCTGAGACAAATCTAGCACAGGTGACTGCTTTTTCTCTGAATCAACTCAGATCTCACCAACTTATCTTTGCTAGTATCTAAATAGCTATGCAGGACATGGCACATCACACTTTGCAAGATGAATAACCACACCCTTTCAAATTCCTTCATACAAATCAGGGGAACTGGGTCAATAGATAGTATGTCAACTAGCAACTATATTCCTGTACAGGAAGAATACCGGGCATTCTGGAACAATGGGCTCCAGTTACCTTCAACTTTCTTGGAATTATAATTAAAGGGTATTTTCTAAACAGCTAGTAATTCAGCCAGGCCCCTAAATCAGTATATCTCTGAGCCCAGACTGACCAGAGTTGGATCACCCATATTTGGTTTATGGTTTTGTAGTTTTCAGTTTCCGGCGGCTGTGTTAATCAGCAATCCTAATGTGTTCTCTGGTGAGAAGTCATGTTTTTCCTGCTCAGCATCTGGATAAGGGAGGGTACCTCAGAGGCTTGTCATGAAGTCCAAGCTGCCAAAGCATGTCACTTATGTATCTGAAAAGTATTAACTCCCTAGACCACTCTTCTACTCTAAGGCTTAGTTACAACGTGCCCTTGAAACTCATGACCTTGGTTTCATGTATTGAGAGTCCAAAAAGTGTGCTACAGCAAGAAAGGCAGGAAATGTGCTTGGCGCTCTGCACTGACTGACAGTCAGTGCCAGTATCATATTGGCATATCAAACCTAGGAAGCACAAACCTGCTCTTTCTGCAGCACAGGACATCACCCATTTCCATACACTTCCTTTAGGCCTTTATCACCTGAGCTCCGAGAAAAAAAAAAAAAAACAAACTAAAACCAGGCCTGCTGATCAAGTTTACATTCAGGACAAAGCCACTTAACAGTTTAGTTTCTATCACTGCTCTGTTTAGAAGACTGAAGGTGAATTCTTCAGCAATCAGCTGCTCTTCACAATTTATACATTTTGGCCTTGTAACCCATTACTGGAGCAGTTAGCAAACAGATTTCTGTAGGTGATTAAACTATATCTGGTTTATGGTGTGAGCCAGCCACTTCCTCTTTTGTTAACATGAACAAGTCACTTTTTATATTATAGCATGAACACTGAGGCAGCTCGGTAGAGGCATCTCAGCTCTCCAGCATGAAGAGGAATTGGATATACAAACATTTTTCCTTTACCTCAGAGCCCACTACTAGATCCAAATGACAGAGGAAATCACATTTGCACCATTTGTATGTTGGAAGCTTAGCTTGTTAGAAGTTGGCAAAACTAGACCTTGGCAGATCTATTCTCACATCTTTTTAGAGGGATACCAGAGTATTCATGTTCAATTGCCCTGAATTTTGACTAATAGCAATCAATTTGGATTATTTCCCAGTCTTTCCCTGTCCTCAGATAGGCCAGAAGGAGTTTGCACTTAGTGCATTTTAGATTGCTCTTACTGGGACATAAAATTTTTCACTCAGCAGTAAGAGAATAGAGTTATAGGCAGGCAACTGAAGACACTACATGGCTGTACAGCTCTACCAGTTTTAAAGGCTGAAATGTGCTCTTGTGCTCATTTTAATGGTAATTTTAAGACAATTTCCTAGAAACCAGGAAATATTGGTTTCCTTTATGTATCGTGCTAGAAGTAGTAAACAGAACTGGGGATCATGTCTATAGCATGAAGTCCTCTACTATAACTTATTAATACTGCTTAGCATTAACAATGCCTAATCAGACAGATCAGTGCAATTGTCACAAATAGCTACTGTCTGTTACATGGACTTATTTGACAGAAAATTAACAGAGGACACTTGTCTGACATTTTTTTTGGTAAGGATTAGAGAACCCACTAACCCCACATGCTCCATGCAGCAGTAGATAAACCACTGAAAACCTTTGCATCAGGTTATCCTCATCTCCTCACTGACTCACACTCAAGGTAGTTTGTGCCAAGGCATCTAGGAAGACCAAACATTAGTCCCCGAAGGATGATGCTTGGAGCAGACAACTCAAAATCCATAGAGAACACCTGATCACACTGAAAAACCTGAAGATGATTAAATGCAGCAAAGCTTCTGCCTTCAGATTCTGAATTGATTCCACAAGTCACTTGTATAGAGAGAAAGAGAAACCAGACAGTAGTCTAATCCCAGTATAATCGAACCAGCATCCCTATAGCTAGTCAAGGATAATTTTCAGTTATGAGTCAAATGGATTATTAATTTAAAGAAAGACTTGTTGACAAGTTTCTCTCTAAAGCATGAGAAGTATTGTACACTCATTTGCTTCTAGGTCTGTTTTGGTTTTTTTTTAGTAACTGTCTTCATTAGCCCACTTACAGCACTGAATAAGACTATACATGCAAGAGCAAAAAGCAAACATCCTTTAAAGCTATGGAAGTTAGGTGTGTCAAAAAAAGCACAGATACGTAGATCTTGTTTGCAATACATAAAAAAAGTGCTTTTCATATCTGAAAAACTATTTTCAATTCCCCTACTTTATGATCAGAATAGTGACAGTGTTTTGTTTTACTTTCCTGCTGTATTTCCTCAAACGGGCTTTAGTCACTCCCATGAAAGTATATAGGGTGTATTATTCAAGTTGTGGCATAAGATTTGTCCCCAAATTTGCCTCAAATCCCAGCATTAGGACAGTTACAGTAGAGCTTCTACTGTACTTGTTAAATCCAAGTCACTCCTAGTTAATCACCTCTGGTATCCTCCAAAAGCCACTTAATCCTGCTGCCCTCAAAGCAGAAGAGTTAGAAGAGAGGACAGGAGCCTGTACTTGACAGTCTTCTGTCCATGGGAAGAGAACAGCTCTACCCTAGATCTGTCCTATGGAGCAACGGTAACCAGAGCTTATCGCACAAATCCAAATGCCCTACACATACATAATACCAGATCTATATCAACTGAGAGAAAACTCAGCTCAGTGCAGCATGAGAGAAAGCCAGAGCATTTTTTGACAGATACCAGCTTCCACTGCAGGGGAAGCCTTAGCATCAGTTGCTTTCTTAAGCATTCAGGGAGTGGGGTGGAGTGCTTGAAACACCTGAATTTTGAAGAGCTTAGCTCCTAGTGACCAGAAAGACACAAAATGCATAGGATGTCTCAAACCACCTGTTAGGCCTCTTGTGCAATAAGATTCTAGACAGTTAAAGTGTACTTAGGTTGTCTGCCCTGATCAATGGTCAAGGATAAGATGCACTAGGCTCCAGAGTGCAAAGGCTTCGTTTTTATCAGAAGAGATTACAGTGATACCATTTACAGCCTTGAGTTCAGGAGTACATATTCTCATTCCTACTGTAATACCCTCGTCCCCCCAGCAATTCATTCACTCACTCAAAGGAATGAAACAGTTATTCTCTACTCTCTCCATGTCAGGAGATTTTCTCCACTGGAAAGTGACTGAGCTTTGTTCTTCCAAGCTCATAAGTACAAAGAAAGAAGTCAGTGTCATATCTATCACAGTAGTTCTTTACAAAAAGCATAGCAATCTGATACTTGCACAATTTCAGAAGCAATGTTTTCAAGGGAGAATGTTTCCTAGAATTACATTGATTGTTTCAAGTTTGCCTAAGAAACAGTTTGCATATGTTTTTGAGGTGATCATGAGAACTTGTTGATCAGCATTAGTAAAGTAACATTGACTCTTTTCAAGCAGGAAGAGTACAGACAACTACACTGGGGTCACTAATTAGTTAAGCACCAGTAGCTTACTCTTTATATTTGCTTATACAGTGCAACTCTTGCCTGGTGTCTTGCAGATGTAAGCCACTGCCAGTTCTTACTCCTTGGAAGCATTATATCCCATCTTCCTCCAACTGCAGCAAGGAGAAATCTTGTGTTCTGCAGGGTTTAGGAAAATCTAACTTTTAGCATCCAGAGAGAATTTAAAGTACAAAAGCTCAGTAGTGACTGCTGAACAGAGCCATGTAAAAACCACAGAGCAAAATCCACAGTAACTTGCATTAATCCTAAAATACACTTTAGTTAGCCTTTGCTTTCAGAGTACCTCTTATGAAAGTAAGAGCCAAACAGTTCAAGTACCCTTTGATCTTGGCGGAGAAGCACTCTGCTAGGTGGTGAGAAAGAATGAGGCCTCAGTGACTTACTTTCAGGAAGTATAGTGCTCTGTGGTTTTAGACTACATATTACAGGCTATTTCTGGGCCTTGCTCATGGAACCTATAGACCTTGGGCTTTCAGTATACTTACACAGAAAGGCTATTTTTTTATAAAGAATTTTACAATGTCTGATATTACTGTCCCTCCATCAGGAGAGCAATGACATCATGACATTGCTTAGTACTAAATGTAGTTTTGGCAGAGAAATTGAAGAGCCGAGCTTTCACATATATTTTTTTACATCAGGTTTTCTCTGTGAAAACTGCCTACTCAAAGACAGAACATGTTCAACTAGCCCGCTGAAATTTTGAAAAATTTAAAAAAACAGTATAATGGGTTACATGTACTGTTTATCCTATTAGGTAACACAAGATCACATTCTTGTAAAACCTGCATGCATCAGTATTATATTAATGGGAGATTATTTCTAAGCACACAACAAGCACAGTTTAAAGATCTAGAACTAAAGCTCAACTTGAAAATTCTTCTAGAACTCCTAAGCAAGCTAGAATACCATCATTAAGCACCTCACATAGCTACACAGAGAGAAGGTAGCACTAAAAACTTCTAGGTACTAATGTATTCTATCACTACATATAATTACAGCACTTACAGTAGGAAGAGCAAAGAGCAAATATGTATCTGAAATTAACTCAGACTAAGGTTCACATGTAACTGTTAGCATACTACCAGAGACTTCCTAGTGGGCTCCTGAAAAGCTCGTTATCTTGAACCCTACAGCTAATCACTGCACTTCCACCTAGGTTATAGAAAAACCCGTATAATTAACAACAAGCAAGCCCACTAACAATATAACAAATTTAAAACAGAACTTAATTACAGAAAATATTTCTAAGTGAATACAGAAAAAAGAACTTAAAACCACATACCATTTTGAAGATGGGGTGGGAAGCCAATCTCTTTTCCTTAGGTAAAAAGGTGCCTTATGAGCACAGTAGCAAACACCAACTAGGTAACGCTCATGTTAAAAAATACAGCTAGTTCCCTCTCTCCGGTTTAAATAAATGAGCAAGCAGAAAAGCATGCTGGGAAGGGAGCTTGTAAATGGGAGGAACTTGCATGGGGGAACAGAAGTGGCTTGAAAAAAAAAAAAAAAGAAAAAAACCAAGCACAAAACGCGGAGGAAGTACTTCAGTTTTTTTGATGAAAAGAGCTTGAAATTTACACATTTCTGATAGAGCTAGGTGAAAAGCAGACTATAATTTTTTTGAAATTGTATTTATAACATTGTTTTTAGCCTAGTTTCTATTATTTTCTCCGTATATAAAGCTGTACTCTCAATAATAACAATTTTTCCTTTAGAGCTGCCTGTATATTAAGATGAGCAGAGCTTTGTAGCCTATAATACCAACAAAATGCTTTGAGTACAGTATTTCTCATATACTGCTGTAACATATTTGCTGGTGGGCTGGATCCCCATTTCTGCTGCTGATTTTGGTGGTTTGTTTGGTTTTCTGTTTTTGTTTGTTTGTTTGTTTGTTTTGTTGTGGGTTTTTTTTTGTTTTTTTTTTTTTTTTGTTTTTTTTTTTTTTTTCCCAAAAGCCTACATAGTTCTTTCTGGTGTGGTATAGATGTACATATGTGCAATTATTTGCACAAGATAACAGTGAATCATGTTTCAAACTTCAGCTTTGTTTCCTGCTATGACAGGGATTTTCTTTATGGTTTTACAGTTGCATTTCTTTATTTAAAAGGTTATAGCTTCTGCAGTTTCCCTTTTTCTCTCCAATGTTTATCTAATATAACTGGAATTTTGTAGCAGGTTTGGAGGGGTGGGAAGACAGTAGCTTTACCTATCTCTCTTCCTTAGTGCCTTGACCTCAGACCTTGGAGTTGTTTTCCCACTCAACAGTTTGCCCATCTGAAACTTTTTCTGTGCTGTGTGATTTCAGAATAATCTGCTTAGCTAGACTAACGATAGCTGGGATGGAATAACATAGCATGTACTTGCATCCAGAATACAACCTGTCCTGGACCTTGGCTTGCTAAAACACATAGCCTCTACTAATTGCAGTTACATTTTTATTGCTGCTGTAAACTTGATTCTATTCAGGTAAAGTTAATTTACACTGTAATTGTGGCATTATTTAGCAGTGCAGATATACTTTCAGGGAAGATGAGGCTTAATTCACAGATTTTGCTGTAAACTTTACATGAAGATGAAAATTAAATAGCTTGTTCTGCATGAAACTCCTCTGCCTTTGGTTTTGTCTACCCAGACAGGCTCCCGTGGGATTTAAGTGAAGCTGTGAGCTTCAGCTCTAAAAGTGCCAGTCAGGGTGCACTTAGGCTTAGAGAAAGGCAATGCCCCTTACAGAGAAGGGAAAGAAGGACAAGTTCCCAGCCCAGCCAGCTCCATTATCACCTTCCTTGAGTGTGTCTGAGGATTTTCTCTCTTCAGATATCAGGCCTCAGTCTGTTATTTTTCCAGACAGAAGAGAAAAAGCACTGAATTTGCCCAGTTTCTGATCAGCTGTTAGGTAGCAATGCTGTGTATCTCAGATGCATTGACTTTGGTTGCAGGTGTGGGAGAACGTGCCTGCAGTGCCATCCTACCTGGCCAGCCAGAAGCCCAGCGTCTGATGCGGAGGTCCCTGAGCTGGTAAGGTTACACTGAATTGCCTGGACTCGGTGGGTCTCACAGCTTCAATATAAATTGGATTCAGCAATGCACATAGAAAATCCCTGGGGAGGATAGCTTCTCCTTAATGATTGGTTCTGTTTAATGCTCATAAATTAGAATATAGCTGACTTTTTTCCCCAGTATGCGTAAGAAATTACATGCCAATTTGAGGTTTTTAATTTTTGGTACTGCCTCAAATGATCTGAATAAACTCCAGATTTTATGAGAGGCACAAATCCATTTGTTGCTAGCAATTCTCTGCCAAAAAATAAAGCAGAGTCACGAATAACTCAACTTTGTTTCTTTTTGTACATGTATATAAAAATGTACACCTGCATCTTTCCTACCTATTAGCAAATTAAGAGGAGCAGTAGGTAGAGTATGCATATAGACAGTTCAAGTTGTTTCCTTTCTGTTGTCACTGCCACAAAAGGTTTGCACAGAGGATGGATAAGATGAGCTTTTGTAATAAACTTGAAGGTCATGGTACAACACAAGCTTTTGATAGCCAAAGATGCCAAAATAGGCCTCTACCTGTAGCAAACAGCAGAGGATGTAAATAAATGAGGGGGCAGCGTTAGCTCAGTGTACAGTTTTTTCTGTTGTCAGTTCAATAGTTGGATCTAAATTTTGGGAATCTGTGGGAAGTGTGGGCTCACTTTATTTCAAGGGTTTTTGAATTCCAGTTTGGCGCTTAAGGCTATGAAAATAATTCTTTATAGCTTTGCTACACTTTTCAAGGCAGCCTCATGGATTTTGTAAAGCAGAGAAACTGCACAGGGATATAAATAATCTTCTCGGGAGTGTAAGTGGGTTCCTCAGAGAAGGTAGTATGGACAGAATGATGGGCTTAGGACTTGGAAGAGAAGCATGCTTTTTGCTGGTTCTCTTACTTGCAGCTTGATTTATGGTTATTCTTTGTCTCTGCTCTTCTCTCCTGTGTTACAGCTGCATCTCTGTACACAAGCAAGAGCTTTGAGTAGGCTCCATCTCTGTAGCTAAACCAAGCAGTGGTATCAAGGCAATGGCAGCAGTCTGGTGTACCATACTCTAAGATAGGTACTTTTAGAACGTTGAAAAAAGGCATTATAGCCAGCTTCTGGGTTCTTAGTTATGGATTAAGGTCCTGTTGTAGTAAACGTTGCCAGTAAGCTTGTGTGTATAAATGATCTAGCATATAACAATACTGACAAGATTTCAAAACCTGCCTGTGATGCTATGGAACCAATGATTCATCTATTTCTGGAACTTTGTTTTAAACATGAGTCTGAATGGGAGCCTGGCACTGATACTCTGGGCACTGTATCTTTAAATAGACATAACTAACAAACTGATAAGAAAATGGCTTCAGCCTGGACGGTAGTCAGGTTTCCAGCCGGACTGTAGCAACAGGGAGTGTTCAGGTGGTTGCTCTCACTCAGGCTTTGATTTCTCTTTATGCCACCCCTGAGCCCAGACTTGCTTCTTTAATAACATGCAGCCAGTCACGCAGCTGTTGTCTTTAGCAGAACACATTTTGATCAGAGGAGTTCATTGGATCAGGGCATTGCAGCAAATTAAGGCTGTTATCCCATTTGCAGTAATTCTCTGCAGGAGAGGGAAGCCTACCACTTAGGAAACACGGGCTTTGATCAGGAGAGATTTGCTTACCTTCCTTCAGCAGTGGAGGAGGGTGGAGGGGCTGGTACAGCTTGCTTCCTTCACTGCTTTACAACTCCAAGTGGGTGTTCAAGGGTTGGTGCTTCCCCAGCTCCAGTGGCAGGACTAAGCCCCGAATCATCAGTGTGTGGCTTTAATAAACAGGCAACACTGCACCCAGGTAACCTTTGAACCTGCATTGCAACAGGTTCAAAGGTAAAAAAAAAATTATTCCTGATCAAATATAAAGAGCAATTTTGGCTGGTTAGAAATGTTAAACATACAACTCTTGCGCAACAGCTTTAGAAGAGACCAGCACGTTGTGAAAGCTAGCCCCAGCCCTGTAAAAGCTGCACACTTGGGTTTTAAATTGGACTCTTATTTACTCTGAGTATGCATGGGGCACTGAATAAGTCTCGTTCCACTGAGAAACGGTGCCTCTTCGATTGCACCTTGAGCAAGCAAACATATTCTGATATTTTTCCTTACTGCTTTGTGTAGGGGCCTCTCCTTAATCACATCTGACCTCTGAGAGTGGGTTTCCTTTGCAGCTCAAGTGGTCCATGAAGTAACATGGCCCTTTATATATAGTAGCTCGTAGTGCAGTTGGGATCTATGGGGGAGGTGGTTATCTTACAGTGATGCACCATCTCTTGTAAAGATGTGCAAAGGGTATTGTCCATGCTGGACTTGTGAGTAGGCTAAGCCTGCTTTGTCAGAGATTTCTTGGTTGATTTAAGTGATTGATTTTTTTTGTTGTTCTGTTTTGGTTTGTTTTGTTTTTTTTTTTTTTTTTTTTCCTTCATCTATTAAATGGGAGAAACAGCACTTCTGTGCTTAACGCTGCTTAAGAAAGTCTCAGTTGTGAGGTGAGATATAGAGGCTGGGCTGGCAGGTGGAGCTTTCTGACATCACTTCCAAAGGCCGTGAATGTGATCTTTGAAAGAAGTTTGCTCTCCATGATCCAAGAGGTAAGGCTGAATACTAGAGCCCTTTCAGCACTCACTTAATACTGTCAGGCCTGGTCAAGATAATAAAGCTTTTTTTGATTTAGGTCTGATGTGACTGGTGCTGTAATTTGACTCTATATGATATTTGGAGAGTAAAACAATATTAACACTTCTCACTTATGATCTTAAGTATTCTTGACTGTGGTAGGAGAACCTGCCTGTAACATGAATAGAAGTAGAAATATCTGTGCCAACACTAATTATCATCCTAGACCACCTGATTGCAATCTCCTCTACATTTTTAGAAAATGTCCGTTCGAGGAGGACAAAAGAAAATGAGTGGGATGGTTCCAAACTTGGTGTAAAGAGATGATACTGGTGTGCAAGCTTCTTGGCTCCAGTCTGTGGTGCATCTTGCATCTGGGAAACAAAGCAGTCAATTTAATGCTGTTGCGAGGTATGCAATAGATCCTAATAATTAGTAGTTGGGCAGGTCCCTGTTCAGTGTAAGTGGATATTGCCTCACCGCCTCAGAAGAGCTAGGGTGACTGACAACATCTGTGGTTTTGGTGCCTAGATGCATTTTATATACCAATGTGAGGGAGAAGTGTAGCAGAATCACTTGAGGAGGGAACAAAGCCAATTGTCCCAGCAAGCTGTATGTGTAAAGCTGTAACTGCTTTTCTTTCTCCACTCTTTCTCCCTGGTACATAAAGCACCTGGCTTTTTACTGCTTTTGAACAGCAAATTAGACCAAGTTGTGGTGTTTTGTCACCTTTCACCTATATAGTTGCTTCTTGATGAATGAAGAGCATTGA